TTTGGTCACTATTTCTTCTAATACATGTTTGTTATAAGTGTGTGTGTTTGTGTGTGTGTGTGTGTGTGTGTGTGTGTGTTTGGGGAGTACTGGAGATTAAATCCAGGATGCTGTACCACTGAGTTATATCCCTAGTACTTTTTAAAAATTTTTATTTTTTGGTAAGTTGCTGAGGCTGGCCTTGAACTTGTGATCCTTATGCCTCAGCCTCCCAGGTCACTGAGACCACAGGCATGTACCACCACACCAGCAGTTAGGCAAGTTCATAATACCCAGGAAAGCATGTTGCAGTCCTTAGTCCTCACTTCCTGCCGTGTACAGACTCAGGGGCACACAAAAATAAAAGCTGAGGAAATACAGTTTTTCCCTGGGCATGCACATAGTCCTATGCCTGCATGTGACCTTCCGTGTTCTTAGAAAAATGTTGAAGCTTTTCAAAACTTCCTATGGACATCTCCTTCCCCAACTTCTCCTCTTTTGGTCAGTTTGCTATTGATCCAATGGTTATAGTTACCTCAGGAAGTTGATGTAAAATAACTGCTGCACTCATTTTCAGCATGTGTATGCAGGGAAAAGATCGTCACCTGGGCAAGCTCTGAACCCTATCAAATAAAGAAACACCAGGGGGCTTCATGGAAGACCAGAAATGCCAAGCTGTGGCAGTTCTCTGGTAATGGGGCTTCGAGGAGCTCCAGCCTCTTTCTGCCCACTCGATGGCTGCTAGGATGCTGGACTCCTCCGTGGGTTTGTAGCTACTGGCTTCTGAGGCTGCCATGGAGCAGGAAGGGGGATGGAAATGAACAAGTTAAAATGTCACGGCTAAAAGTTAAAAAGCTCATGGTTCTTACTGAGAGGCAGCCATTTTTATTAAATAAGTTTTTTTTTTTTAATTGCTGCTAACCTTTAGTAAATGTCCACACCATGTTGCTGGCGTTCTGTTGCTTTTACGGCAGAGGGAATTTTCAGAGGTTCTTACTCAGCTATTCTGATACAGGACATTGACCTGATGTCCTTTCACATGAATTTTTAAGGAGTTTTGCTGCGACCTTCAAGCTCTCCCACAAAGCATCCCGCCTCACAGGGGTGTGTTTTCCCTGCCTTTAGGGAAAACATCTTCAAAGTTTTATTGCATCTCTGAGGCCAAGGAGAACAGGAGGTTCTTTAAGGAGGGTAAGCTACTGAGAGCAGGTGTGACCAACTTCTGAGAGGGGTCCTTTAGTGTCTTTGAATGTGCACTCTGGGGCTTCTCAGGATCTGCCTGCCTGGTGCCACGCCTGCTCAACCCTGCGCTTTGTCCGCAGGACCTCTGCTGAGCCCCATGGAGTGTGTCATGTCACATCTGAAACTTCTTTGGAGTAGGGTACCTAAGCCAGGGTTTCTGGCTTGGAAAGACCCTCATCTGTGCTAGAAGTCTGTCTATGGAGTATAAGCAGCCCCTGGGGTGAGCCAGCTGTACCCAGGGAGAGCAAAGCATGCCGCCACATTGCATAAGAAGGGACAAGTTAGTGACTGTTTCCACGTGTGAAACCTTGAGGTGTTTGTGCTTCACAGCCACATAAAGACTTGCCCCAAGTAAAACGCTCAGGAAGGAACCTTGGCCTTCCAGCTCATCATGGAGGTTGCCTCCTTTCAGAAGCCCCTCCAACTCCTCCTGACTGTCCTTCACAACCAGGATCCACACAATACACAAGATGTGTGAAAAGTGGGGAACAGATTTCAGCACTTGAAATGGCTTTGATGCTTCACCCCAGAGCAGTTCTGAAGGACAATCTGTTGGCTGATGTAATGAGCAATGTCCTGGGGTCAGCAGACTATGGCCACATCTGGCTTGGTTGTGTGTGGTCTATGAGCTTAGACTAGTTTTTCTGCTTTTTATAAGTTTACAGGGAAAACCCAAAGCATATGCAACAGAGACCCCACAGCTTGCAAAGCCTAGGGATTTGCTAGCTGCTTGTTTATAGGTCAAGTCTACCTTCCTCTGGATTATGGTGTCATGGATTTAAATAGTGAGGGACATCCTAGGACAGCCAACTCTACAGTAAATGACAGACACATGGGGGCAAAAACACTTGGAATATCTTTAATGCACCAGGCATTTTAGACATCCATAAAATCACCTCATTTCAGAAATCATGTCCTCTTAGGTACAGTCTGTGTTCAGGACCAGAGACACATATACTACTGAGTTCTCGATGGCACCCACGTGCTACATGCGACCCACTTTGGCACCTTGTGCTGGGTAGCAGAGCCACCCCCACCACAGGGCTTCGTCCATGCCTGCAGACACCTCAGCTGTTAATGAACACACCTGTGGCTTCATTAACACCTGATGGTTCTGTAGAACCCAGTACACTTCTAGCCCTCCCCGATATCCCATGCATGTGACCATCAGCCTGAGGAGCGTAGTGACACATCATGTCAGCTGGTACATGGGCAGCACCTGCTCCGCTCCATCTGAACACTGAGGCACTTAGATGCTCTTGGTGAAATGGAGCTTATAGTTATCTTAGGAGTAAAGTGTGAGGGAAGAGGCTTTTTTTCTCATAATTAAAACTTCAGCACATATTTAGATTTATAAAGTCACGTGTTTACATTTCCCCACCAAGGATTCATGCACTGTTGACGTGAATGAAAGCATGTTTGAATTTCCAAATGCTGTGATGGAAGCAAACAGAACCTGCTTAGACAACACAGGCTTGTGCCATGAATACATCAGTGTCTGACTGTTCTGAAAGAAATGCTCATTTCCAAAATGAATTTTCTAAGAAGCCTTGTGTGATTCTTCCAAGCTAATCATGTTTTTCTCCTTCCTCCTCAAGCAGTGGCTCCACGCATCTCAAGACATCTTGCTGCCTGAGGCTCTGACGGAATTGGCCAAGGGGGGGCAGCATTCTCTGCCAGCTCCCAGGTGTCTCCAGCATGAGAACCCTGTGCTCTTCTGGTTCTCATTCATCCTCATGACAAGCCCTGATCCTCGGGTGGGGCTGCAGTCTCTTCCATGAGATAAGAAACTAAGGCACAGAAAGGTAACAGGCTCAATGGACACTGTGCGATCAACGACAGAGCCAAGGTCGGCATCAACGTGTCCTAATAAGCAGCGCCGCCTTCCCAGCGTCTGGACTAAGGAACAAAGCCAATGGGGAGCCAGGTGTGTGGCCTTCTGTGCCAAGGATGGCATGGAGGGACATGGGGCAGCTCTGAGCCAACCTCCCACCGGATGCAGAAGAGATACATAAAAGAGATCCGTATCTGAAACCCTGTGAGGGACCCACCACAGGACCTCTTTTACCTAAAGCCTCACCTCCCTCAAATGCATGTGTGAATTCAGGTTTCTTAGAAGCTGTGCCGGGAGTCACACTCCTCCTGACAGCTGATCCCTTAGCTCCCTCATGTCAAGAGCTGCAGAACTCTCCCGTGCCCCTGACTTGAGTCCCAGTGCATACAAAACCTCCACAGTCCTGTAGACCTGCCAGGGCCCCAGCACCCTCCACTTTCTAAGTGGACATGCATCTTCTCTCTGCCTTCTCAGAACTCCCAGACACCAGCCCCTCGGCTGCCTCACCACTGGCTGTGTGAATTCACTCTGGATGCAAACTTCATTCTCCATGTTCCAGGTGACCAGGAGGACTTTCACTTTGTAATTCCAAATCACCAGCTGAGCGGAGCCAAGCCAGCTGGGAGGCAACTTCAATGTATCACCTTCCCGTCCCACACCCACTGCTACACCTATGAAATCAGTCTTAATCACTATTCCTTTTTTTGTCCCCATTAGCGCCCACATCTCATCATACCTGAGGAGGCGAGATTATTCCTTCTCCTTCTTAAAGTCATCTGACTACAGAAACTGCCAAGTAACAATGAATAATGGAAGACAGCACGCCCCAGGAAAGCTTTCCACACATCTGCTGTGACTTCCCAAATACTCTAAGCTCACACTGAACACAAAGGACGTCTTGCTCCCACTGTCAATCGACCCATTACTTGGAAACCACATCTGAATGAACCTGTTTGTAGAGGCCTCCTAGATGCTGTGTCCAGCTCTAAACCACACCTCACCCATCTGCAGGACAGATGCTCAGAAACTGTCCCTGCAGCTCCAGGGACTGCTTGGAGCACAGGAGAACATAAGAGGGACTGCCACCTCCCTCCGGCCAGGGCCACCTGGAGAGTGGAACTCTCCCTTCTCCAACCCTTGGAGAGGCTTTACAAAGGCTTTACAAAAAAGAAAACAGAGTGAAGGAAAGGGAACTCAGCAAATGTGCATCTAGAATTCTCGTTAAATAATGATAAGTGAGAACCATGTCCAAAGACCCCGTCCACCCACCCCACCTATTAAGTAAAGCACGATATGTTTTTCCTCTCATGCTTATTTGATGCTTACAGGATTGGCAGACTGGCTGCTTTGTTTCTAAAACATGCAGAGAGCAGACTGACAGCAGTCTATGCTGTTCGGTGCCTAATCCCAGGACCCCCGATTGGCACGCCACCATGAAGGGGGCGACAAAATGGCCTCCCTGAGACACTATGCACAGCCGCAAAACTAAGGACAGTTGGTGCATGCGTGTCCAGAGTTTAGTGGGGCGGAATGAGGTGGAGGAGATGAGCAGGGAGCACACGGGCTACCTCCAGAACGCAGGAAGGGCCACTGTGTCCCAGCACAGCGGGCTGCAGCAATGCTCAGAGCTCAGGCCACCGCAGGTGGAAGGACCCCGCGGAGGCCGCAGCGCCTGCCATCCCGGGAGGAGAGGCTCTGTGCCCAGGGCCAAGTACGGAAAGACCTGCAAAGAAGAGCACACTCAACAGCCAGATACCGATGGTGCCCCCTCGGAAGGCTGGCCTGCTCCTCCCTCGGGGACATCTGCTCAGGTCCCGAAAGCCTCCGCGGCTCTGTGGAGCGCTCCGCTTGGGCAGCGCCCTGAGCAGCCCGTGGGGGCTCTCCGGAGTAGCCTTCTCTTATCACGCCCGTGCCAGGGCTCTCTCTTCCCATCTCCATCCTGTCCTTCACAGCTTGATGAAAGCGGCCGGCTGAGGCTGAGGCTGTTGTTCCACGTCTGGGGGCGGGAAGACGCTGGATATGGCTATGTCCACGATGCCCTGGCACAGTTCTGCGTAGAGCTTCCTGGAACGAGTTTCAGAAACGTCACTGAGGATGTTCATCAATGTGCAAGGGAAAAACAAAGGCTTCTCTCGTGTTTGTTTTTTTTTTTTTTAAACCAAGCTCTGCCCTAGAAATCCCATCTCATGACCATCATTATAAAATTAGCTTCCGCCACATAGACAAATAACTCAGGAGGCAGCGCATGCAGGCAAAGAATTCTCTCAAAAGCTGTGTGTGCCTATAATCCCAGTTGCGCAGCAGGCTGAGGCAGGAGGATCACAAGTTCAAACACAGCCTCAGTAATCTACCGAGGTCCTAAGCAACTCAGTGAGATCCTGTCTGTTAAAAAAAAAAAAAATACAAAAAAGGGCTGGGATGTGGCTCAGCATTAAGTGTCCCTGAGTTCTCCCAATGCCAAAAAAAAAAAAGAAAGAAAGAAAGAAAGTAATGAATTATCTCAACAAATAGCTTCTTTTTCTTTGTAGTTGTAGATGGACAGTATGCCTTTATTTTACTTGTTTATTTTTAAGTGGCGCTAAGGATTGAACCCTGTGCTACACACATGGCAGGCAAATGCTCTGCCATTGATCTACAGCTCCAAAGACCCGCTGGGTGAACCGATCAGACAACTCCTGTTCTAACCACAAGGAAGACAGGCAATTTCAACAGCAGGAGAGCCATCTGCCCTTCCAGGAGAGGACCCACCTCAGCTTCCCCTTCTCCTCCTCTTCCTTGGTGAACAAGTGAACAGGCATTGAAAAGACACTTCTTTCAGCACAAGAACAAGACCTCAGGGCCCTGGCTCCTACCTCAGGGAGGAGGCTCGGGTAGCCTCCAGACCCAGCTCACGGGTAAGACCCCACCCTATGCAAAATCATGTACCAAAAAGACAGCATCTGGGCTGGGGTTGTGGCTCAGTGGTAGAGCGCTTGCCTCATATGTGTGAAGCACTTGGTTTGATTCTCAGCACTACATACAGATAAATGAATGCAATAAAAGTCCATCAACAACTAAAAAAAAAATTTTTAAAAGACAACATCTGTTCACTTTTCTATTGCTATACTTGAAATATACTCATAATACTATAACCTGGGTAGCATCTGTCTCCTTCCTCAAGTGGACTTCCTTGGGGACACTCTTCTTTACCTGTCCCAAGACCCTGCCACTCCCACCAAGACCGAGCAGAGGGACTCCAGCAGAAATGGAGTGGCAGCTGGGGAGCCAGGGAGAAGAGCCCAGAAAAGACAGAGCACTGATGCAAGCTGTGAGGCCTGGGGCCCTGCTCCGCACAGCTCTTCAGGGAAGCAGCAAGTCTCCACTGGAACACAGGGCTGCTGTGGTGGGCAGGACGTGGGAGCACTGCCTCACACTGCCTCACACTCTGGGTTAACTGGGGAGAAGTTGCTGTTCCTCCACCCTCCCCTTTGGGTGTCGAGAGCCATCTGTGGACTATGTGTAGACCAAACAGGCATCACAGCCAGGAAATAGGAAAATCTGGTAGTATAGGACTTAACAGCGGCAATACTGCTTAAAGATGGCCCAGACACTCAGCTCTGCCAGGTCCCACACAGATGGATGGGGTGACCTGCTGGAGCCCCATAGCCTGTCAGGGATGGGTGTAGCCTGCCAAGATGCCCATCAACCTGCTGACTGCAAAACCTCATGAAGCAAGACTCCACCCCTGAAACCTCATCCCTGCCTTTGACATACCCCCTTACACCGCCAGAGCCATTTTCTAGTTGTTCAGCTCCAGCTCCTATGAGGGCTGGACCTATCAGGGCCTCCATGCCTCTTAAAACTGTAATTCTCACTTTGTTTTTTATTTCTTCACTAAGTATTTCAGACTTTATTTTCTCAGGTGGCTTACCCTTTCCTGAGCAGGAAAAATTACCAAGCAAGGTGCTGGACGCCTTGGGATAACAGGGCATCCATCCTTAACTCCTCATGCAGTAAAAGAGGCACACTAGCCTTCCAATACCGCTGCCCGGGCCCTGCTCAAGGGTTTTCACCCTATAGGCAGGAACTGCTTCATTAATATCCAAATAAGCTTCAAGAATAAACCAAAACAGAATCACTCCCCCTCCACACGGCAGGGTCCCCTTCTTTGTTTTCTACACATTATACTTATACGTCTGACTGCATTCTACATCCTGTTCCCTGACCCACCACCAAGATGCAATGGCACCCTTGACTTCAGTACACACTATGGCACTCAGAGGCCCCATCTGGATATTCTCAAAGCTCTCCATAGAGAGCCCACTCCACTGCCCCCATCTCCGCTGATGTGTAAGGATGGGCCAAACATAAGTAAATCTCCCACCAAAGCCACTAGGTAGTAGAAAGGTGATATTATGATGTCTGTACTGCAATTACTAACTCGCGGAGGAGCAGTGCTAACCAGGAACACGTGTCTGTTCATCCAACCAACGCTTATAGAGAACTGAGTGCCCGGCAGTGCTGGGCTCCAAAACTGAGTGACAACAAGAACCCAGGCCAGCCCCTCATGGTCTACGCCACCTAGAAAGGAACAGAAGCTAGTCAATTGCCACATGAAGGAGATTACTGAGACTCTGGCTGGAGGATATTGGGATTGCCCAGGGATGGCTCCTTGAGATGCCATTTTGGCAGAGAAGGAGCCAGTCATGGTGAGACTGATGGTGGCGGAGGGGCTCTACATAGGGATTATAGCCAGCACACAGGCCCCCAAAGCTGGACACTGGGCAGCAGCCCTCAGGATGGAGGGCGGGGTCTGGTTCCAATCTCAAGTGCAACCCAAGATCTGGCTTCCATGTTCCCACTCTGGCTGCACTGAGGAGGGTGTATCTTATGGCACAGTGCAGAAGTGCAGACCCAGGGGGCTCTTCGGAACAGCCTCCGTGGTGATGGGAGATGACCTGCCAGAGCGTCAGTACTGGTGGCAGAGGAAGGCAGAGGACAGGGAGGTGGGAGGCAGAGCCCATGGCTCAGGTGCCGGCAGGGGAGGAAGGTTCTGTGTCCACCTCCCACTTAGACCGTGGGGACAGGGTGGTGGCCTTCCAGCCCCAGAGGCTGGGTAGTGTGTGGAGAGGAGGGCGAAGGGGCTGCCAACGGCATCCTCCCAGGATCCTCCCAGGAATGAAGAGCTGAGACAATCTGTGTGGGAGGAGCCAGGCAGCAAGATGAGGGAGAAGGAAGGGCAAGAGGAGGGAGGGCAGCGCAGAGCATGGAACAGGGCGACTCTGACAGAAGGACACAGGAGTCGCAGGGCCCACTACCGCGGAGGTGGAGAAGGGGAGCATGAAGACCTTCTGCTCCCACCCCCAGGGGACCTCAGTTCCCACTGGGCCTTCGGCTCAGTCACACCCCTTGACCCTCCTCCTCGCTCTCGTCCTGGTGGTACCTGTACCTGGCCCCTCACCTTGTCCACAGCTCCTCTCCACCAGGGCCAGGGCCTCTGCTCCCTCGCCAGGGTGTGTGACCTAGGGAGCCTGTGTCAGCTGCAGGGAGTGACAGGTAGGTGGAACCACACCTGTTAGTCATCAGGCAGGTGACCAAAGCTAGCCCTTAAACCACAAATGGTTCACGCTGCTCGTTGGAAAATCACCTCCATTTCCCCAACAGGGGACACGGAGCCATGAGAGGGTCCTACTGGCATGAAAGCGGGTCTTCAGAGGCATCAGGACTGCGGGGGATTCTGTCTCCTTGACCTGCCCCATACCTGAGTCCTTCCACAGAAGGTCCCAACATGCTTCCCACCTCCACCTTTCACCCCTCCACACACAGCATAAGTACTGCAGCTGCTGCTGCGGGAAAGAACGGGAGACCCTGGGCAGCTTCCGTCCACCTGAGCATCTCACAGACCTGCCCGGAGCCCAGCACAGGGCACTGTCCCCCTGGACGCCGCCTCCCGTCTGCAAGCTGTCCCCATGCCCTCTGGGGGCCTGACACTCTCTCCTTGTGTGCCAGCTCCTGCTCCATGGTGTCCAGGTGCCTTCTCAGACGACTTCCTGTCTCCCCTCCTGGCAGGATCCTGCCCATGCCACCTGCCACATGAGGGGGTCTCTCTGCCACTATTAGTTTTGCTGCAAGCTCTCGTGGAATCTGCCACCCACCTGGCAACCACATGAGGAAATGGGCAAGCAAATGGCACAGCTAAGCCCCCCATCAGCCAGCTCCTCTCCAAGACCCCTGTCTGCGTGGCACACCCTGGGGCAGCAGCAAAGGGTCAGTATGAACCTTCAGTCAAACTATCCCAAGTGCACGGCCACCCAGCCCTCCCCAGCACACCCTCAGGCTTACTGAGCACAAGCAGGGGCACCGTTGACCTCGATGAGCCAGACCTTCAGCTCCTCGTCCACCATGAAGTCGAAGCCAAAGAGCTGGAAGCTCTGGTAGGGCAGGTGTTTGGTGCTGATGGCTGGCTCCACACTCAGGAGGCAGCTCCTGCAGGGAGAGGAGGGGAGCTTGCTGAGCGGCGGGTGGGTACGTGGAGGAGTGACTGTCAGCTGCATATGAACATCAGCTTCAACCGAACCCTCCCTTCAACACTGACCCAAGAGGTCACCCAGAGCAGGCTACTCAGCAGGCAGGTTGCTGGAATCTGCACCCATGTTCTCCAGGCAAAGGCGGCTGTCCCAGGCCTGGTAGGCAGCTCAGCACAAGGCACTGATGCCTCTGTGACTGCAGATGCCACCAACTGGGGGCTGCCGCCACATGTGTCCTGTACTTCCATCTGTAAAATATGAATCTCCTTTGTTGGAGAGCAACATTTGCAGAAAGAAGGCTGGCCCCATTCATTTCTTTTGCTAGCTCTGGTTCTACAGCCCAATTATTGCTACTAAAGGATTTCAGAGCTGTCCACATTAACACTAAATGCTGAGATACAGCACTGAGTTACTATCAGCATCAACTACTATTTGAAAATACTAATGGATTTCAGAGACTCAGAAAGAAGTTGAAAGTGAATCTCAGGAACATGAGTCTGCAGTCAGGTTATAATGCGGGACAAGTTCTTTTACATTTTTGTTGTCATTGCTGTGGTATCAGGGACTGAACCCCAGGGCACTCGACCACTGGGTTCCATGCCCAGCCCTTTTTATCTTTCATTTTGAGGCAGGACATTGCTCAGTTGCCCAGGTTGGCCTTGAACTTGCAATCCTCCTGCCTCAGCCGCCTGAGTCGCTGGGATCACAGGTGTGTGCTACTACACCTGGTATGTTCTTAACCTTTCTAAGCCAAACGTTGATTTCCTTACCTATGACATAAGGAAAATACCACCTACACCTACTGTTGAGAGTTCACTGAGTTAATGCTCTAAGGCACCTGGCCCTACTCTGGTACCTACAATCCACTTAATAAACGTTGCTCTTAAGAACAGCACATTTCATTCACTCACCTATGGTAACAATAACACATTTATTATTTCTAGATGACACCATCCTCTAGTTCAAACATCCCAGGAACCTTCGGCTGTTCTGTTTTATGAAGATCTTTCTGACCTTTCCCTCCGCTGGATGTGGCAAATGTTTACCCTAGTAAATAAAATGTGACTCTGGTATCACCAGAGACGACCGTCCTTCCATCAGCTGTAGGTGTGGAAGGGAAGGGGCTTCCTCGTGACCAACTTTACGATACACCTTCCCACGACTTCAAGAGGAACTGAGGCCTTGAACGTAGGCCAGGTCTTATCCCCAGCCCTCCTCCAACAGCCACCCCCAATTTCTATCTTCTTTTATTTCTTTCTCACCCAAACAGAAAACTGTTTCTACAGATGTTTAAACATTTGAAATCCATTTTGGGAAGGTAAGCCATCCACTCTTTTTCTTTTTTTTTTCCCCTTTTCCTGGTACCAGGGATTGAACCAGAGGGGCTTAACCACTGAGCCACATCCCAGCCGTTTTTAAGTTTTATTTTGAGACAGGGTCTTGCTAAATTGCTCAGGGCCTCGCTAAGCTGCTGAGGCTGGCTTTGAACTTGTGAACCTCTTGCCTCAGCTCCAGAGTCATTGGTATCACCAGGCATGGGCCACCACGCCCTAGCCATGAATTTTTAACCCAGGCTGGCAAATCGCACATCACATTTTAAAACATAATGGCTGGGGCATGATGGGGCACACTCACTGTCCCAGCTATTGGGGAGGCCTAGGCTGGAGGATCAGTTAACCTGGGAGTTTTGAGACCAGCCTGGGCAACACAGTGAGATGCTGCTTCAAAACACATCTTATCTCTGCTCTAGGAGAGAAGACCCAAAGATATTTTAATGAAAATAGCCTTTAAAATGTTATAATAAAGAAAAGTTTAATAGATGAGAGAGAACAACAATTGAGAAGCATAAAAAGTAAAAACAGTATTACACTCTCCAAGGAAAGGAAAAACGGAGCCAGAGCCAAACCAAAGCGAAACCTTGGACTTCATCTGCTGGGAGCTCCAGATGGATGGTTGGTGAAGTGCAGTTTTTCATCCTCAGACTCTGCATCATTTTTTGGCTAGAGTGGGCAGGCAGGGGAGGGTGACTAAGGAGAGAACCTGAGAGTGGTGCGGGGGATGCTGCGCAGCATGCAGGTGGGGGGCAGCCAGGGGGACGGGGAGCGGGGTGGGGTGGGAATGCTGTTCAGGGCACCTGGGAGCAGCACTCCCTGAAAAGCAGGAGCAGCCAGGAAGGGCCCTGTGCTTCCACACACCTCCTGACTAAACAGGAATCCTTCCCCCTGCACAGCTTATTTATCTGGTATCCGAATTTTAATCATCTATAATCCCCGGGAAAAAAAATGGGACTCCAAGCCCTGAATTCCTCTGCGGTACTCTGTAAGAAGACATCAAGGGAAGTCTCGGGCACTGCGACAGGGCAGCAGTGACAAGGCAGATGAACAGACTAACATATAAGGGAGACCCCGGAACAGACCCTGCGGCAACTGGCCCTGACTGGTAACTCAGGGTCTGCACAGGGCAATGGCAGGGGCAAATGGTCTTGGCTCCCTAAGATATCCTTGTGGAAAAGTAAGAAGCCTAATATAGAAAAATCCCAGGGATCAAGAGCTTTGTAATGTTGTGAACAACCAATAAAAAAAAAAGAAAAAAAAATAAACTTATCAGACCAAAAAAAAAAAAAAAAAAAGAAAAATCCCAGGGAGATTGTAGGTCTAAAATATAAGAAGTCAAACCCAGAAGCCTGTCAGTTATAGAAGGATAAACTCTGGGATATTCACATGGTGGAATATTACACAGCAGTAAAGAAGGACCAACTACTGCTCTGTGCAGCAGTGTGGGCAACACCACACCACAGGCTACATATAGTCTCTATTGCATAACAGAGTCAAACACCAATGAGCAATACAGAGACCATGTAGCACTCCATTCACATAAGGTTTAAGAACAAGCAAAAAGGAACCTATGGTGACAAAAGTCAGAAGAGTGGCTATCTTTGGCAGAGAGTACATTTTTTTAAGGGTGTTCAGAGGTGCTATAAATGATTTAGATATTTATTTGCATCATGGTTCAGAAAGTGTGTGCATAATTAAAAACTTACAAATAGCACACTTCATTCATGTTAAACTTCGTTTAAAAAATTCCTTGACTGGATTTAGTAAACATTTTTAATAAATTAGTACTAAAAAATTATTTTGAGACATATTAAGAACTAGACCAAGAGGAAAAAAAATAGATACAGACCTAGACATCAGGGGCAGGCAGATGTTTTTTACAAAGGACCCAATAGTAAATATCTTAGGTTTTGCAGGCTACATATAGTCTCTGTTGCATAAGCTTTTCTGTATCCTTTTTCTTCCTCTCTTTTACAATCCTTAAAGTTTTTATTTATTTATGTGGCACTTGGGATAAAATCCAGAGCTGCTCTACCACTGTGCTGTACCCACAACCCTTTTTATTTTTTATTTTGAGACAGAGTCTTGCTAAGTTGCTAGGTTGTCCTGGAACTTGCCATCCATCTGCCTCGTGTAGCTGGGATTATAGGTGTGCACCATCCTGCCCAACTACACCATTTAAAAAATAATTCAAAAAACATTCTTAGCTCATAGACCTTAAGAAAATAGGCATTTAGCCAGGTCCAGCCCCCAGGGCACAGGCACTAGCCAGGGGTAGTCCAGATTTTGTAGTTCTCAGACAAGGATGTTAAAGAATTGCCAATGACAAAGTCAAGAAAATAAGAGAGAAGTGGGAGCATCTCATGAGAACTGTAGCTTGAAAGAAAAGAAGCAAATGCAAACCTTAGAACTAAGCCCAAAAACGAGAGGTGTGAACTCAACAGGGGAGACTAACAGCAGATTCCGAAAGCTTTTAACTCTTTAAAATGTCTTGACAGGTTTTGATAGCAAACAAAGATTGGGAGAAAAGCAGGAGTGGGACCCTCAGGAGAGAAAGTGGCACAGGAAAGCCACAGGAGTGAGATGCCAGAGCAGGAACAGGAACAGGAAAACCACACATGGGTCTCAGCAAAATCCGTAAAAATCAGCAAAGAGGAAACACAAAAGCAGAAAGACGGCGACAAGAGCAGCACTGTGCTTCCTGCTGGCTTCTCAGAAGAAGGATCAAAGCCAAGTGACAATGACATGCCACCTTCAAACTGGACATGGATTTCCAGAGAAAAATCTCCTCAAACAACAGACGAAAGATAGCATCATCATAACAACTGAGATAATCCATCACAAGCAGACCTTACTTTTTAAGTGCTAAAACAACCAGGCACAATGGCACACGCCTGTAATCCTAGCAACTTAGGAGGCTGAGGCATGAGGTGAAAGAACCATCAAGGCTTGCCGTGGGAAAAAATGCCCATTTATTGAGGAACAGCTCTGCATATTTATAGAGCCGGGGGTGGTTTGATAGTTGGCATGGGGTGCTTTTTTATTGGTGACTAAGGATCAGGTGAGCAACAGGACTAGTCTGATTGGTGGGTAAGGATCAGGTGAGCCAGCAGGGCTAATCTGATTGGTGGGTAAGGATCATGTGAGCCAGCAGGGCTCACCATTGGACGGCTCTTCTTGGGGGATGGGGAAGTTAGTCTTTGGAGCCAGGGCGACTCCCAACATGAGGACCACAAGTTCAAGGCCAGCCTCAGCAACTTAGCCAGACCCTGTCTCAAAAATAGACAGGGTGGGGGTGTGGCTCAGTGGTAAAGCACCCCTGGGTTCAAGCCCAGCACCTAAAAAAAATTAATATGTATGTATGTGTGTGATACTGATGAACACCCAGTGCTCCTCCCAGTGTCTTAGCCCCTGCCTCCCGGCCAGAGGAAACTGCGGCCCTCATTGACTTTGCTCTGCATTCCTGGTTTCTCCTCCTGCTTCCGCCAGACCCGCACAGTCCTCTACATAATGCAGCAGGGCTGCCTGCTCAATGCATGCTCTTCAGCTCGTTCCAAAGGGATCAGTCTATGTGCATCTTGCACCCAGCTTGTACTTCTGGCTTCACATTATGTTTGTGTAAATCTCATAAAAATATCCTTCAGGAATAAGCTGAAATAAACACATTCTCAGATGATGGGAAACTAGGATTTATCACCAGCAAAACTGCTTCAAAAGTCTGAAGGAAAATTATGTCAGAGAAGAATTCAGAACTGAAGGAAGAGCAAAAGAAATGGGAAGAGTCTGAGGACACAGAAAAGAATATTTCCTCCTCTTATCTGGATTTATATATAGTTTCACTTATATAAAAATTCAACCTGAAAATCTAACACGTCTGGAAATACATATAACTGTTGATAGCAAATAACATGCACAGTAGATTTTAGTAAAGCAGATGTAAAAAACGTGAAAATCACAATAGAGGGCAGAGTTACTAAATTGGAAGTTTATTTGAAGTGGTGAATTACTGATTCTAGAAAGGCTGTGAAATATTAGGTTTGTAGTTAATCCTTAAATCAGCCACTAAACAAGACAAAACAAAACAAAAAACCAAAGAGAGACAGCCAGCCAGGCGTGCTGACACACGCCTGTGATCCCAGTGGCTCGGGAGGCTGAGGCAGAAGGATCACAAGTTCAAAGGCCACCTCAGCAACTCAGCAAGACCCTGTCTCTGAATAAAAAATAAAGAGGGGAATGTGGCTCAGTGGTTAAGCATCCCTGGGGTCAACTCCTGGTACAGAAGAGGGAGACAGACAGCCAAACACTCAGCAGAAAAATTAAAATGAAATTTTAAAATCACATACAAATAATTCAAAAGAAAGCAGGAAAAGGAGAGGTTAAAAAAAGACAAGACAAACAGACAACAGGTGATAAGATGATAGATGTGCTCCCAACCAAATCAATAATTACATTGTTTCAAAGGTGTCAACTAATTAAAAGAGTATTATATTAGAGTAAGATTAAAAAAAAAAAAAAGCAGCCAGGTGCAAGTTCAAAGCCAGCCTCAGCATCAGCGAGGCACTAAGCAATTCAGTGAGACCCTGTCTCAAAATAAAATACAACATAGGGCTGGGGATGTGGCTCAGTGGTCAAGTGTCCCAGAGTTCAATCCTTGGTACCAAAAAAAAAAAAAAAAAGATTGAAAACTCGACCATATATACATATATAGAAAATAAAGGTAAAAATAAAGGAGTGAGATGAAACACACCACGGAAACATGAATCAGAAGAAAGCAGGAGGCCGTGACCCAAATCAGAGGAATAAACAAGGACCCCCGGAGACACAGACAGTTACACACTGACACATGGCCAGTTCAAAAAGGGACAGTCCTAAACACAGGTGCACCTAACAACAGAGCCCAAGACAGATGAAGAAAACCCAGAACAGTTGAAAGGAGGTACCAGCCAACCCAGGACGCCAACACTCCTGCTTGCGACGAGGATCGGAACAGGCAGGGCAGTCAGCAAGGAGGGGGGACTCAGGTGACATCCTCAGCTTCGACCCGACAGGTGGGCGCTGGGGAACTCACCCAGGGACAGCACCGCGCGCCTCTCAGTGCACTGTGACCGGCCACACTCTGGGCCACAGAACCGATCTCAACAAAATTTTAAAAAATGAAACCATATTTCAGGTATGTCCCTGTGACCATAATGGAATTACTAGGGAATCCTCAAATATTTGGATATTAAGACAAAATTTTTTAAGTCCCACGTGAGTCAAGGATGAAGTCACAGGGGAAATTTAAAAATATTTCAGTACAAATAATAGAATAAGAACAGAACATCAGTAGGATGCAGCTAATGCAGAAGCTGGAAGAAAACTGTAGGCACCAAATGGTGGTGGTTGTTTTTTTAAAAAGAAATCTCTCCATTCAATGATCTAAACATTCACCTTAAGAAACAAAAGAAGAGGAAATTAATTCCCCCCTGAGAAGCCAAAATGAAAAAGCATAGATCAAAGAAATTGGAAAAAAATAGAGAAAAATCCATAAAGTCAAAAGCTATTTTTTTGAAAAGTTTAACCCTCTAGCCAATCCCTCCAAGTAGAGAGGAAATATAAATGATCAATATCTGGAGTGAAAAAAGGGACATCATTACAGGTCCTACAGGTATTAAAATGAAAATTATCATCACCAATGACTTTTGCCCATAAATTAGACGACCTAAGTGGAACAATTCTTTCAGCAGCATGAACACTCAAGGCTGCTGGGAAAAAACTGAGAAGGTGCAGGGCGTTACCTTATGATATGTTTGATCTGTTGTAAGATACTGCTCTCCAAGGTGATGTTCAGAGCACTCGTCAGGTACTGGTTGAACTCCTCGAAGAACATCTCGTTCCCTTCCTCATACTTGCCGTAATTCTTGGAGTACTCCTTCTGAATGCAGTGGTTGGTCAAGTGGCAGGTCTTGTCTTGGAAGTCGTCAACGTGATACGGCTCAGACGCAGTTCGGAGCACACCCTCCCGGTAGAGGTAGATGTTATACTCGTGGTCCACCAAGACCCAGCTTCTGCAATCAACACAAGCACTGTTACCCGGGTTGCGCTCAGCCTCTCACGCAGTAGGTGCACACAGCATTTGGAGCAAAACCATAGGCATCGGCTATCTCTCTATGGTGTGTGAGGTGGGCAAGTGGGAGCAAGGTGGGTTCTGGGGTTATATAAGGCAAACTGTGAGTTAGCCACATGGTGGGTCATCACCATCAATGACGACGTGGAGACTTGAATCCATTAAAAAGACAGCATTTTGCAAAGATCTGGGTAGATTTTGAGGATACCCTATAAAGCCTTGCTTTGCCCCTTCAGTGTCTGCAGAGGACCAGGGCTCCTCAGGAAGCTGATCCAACTCCGGCTGATGTCTGAGAAGCAGCAAGTCATTGTGAAGGCCTCAGGGAGACAAGAGCTGAGGGCAAGGTCAAGGGCAAGCTGGGGAGAGGCCGTTTAGCTCTAGAAAACACCACATCAATTCTTTCTGCATGACAGGCCCTTGCTCAGAAACTGAGAATCCAGAAACCTGAGGCAGGTATGCGCATGACATTCGTAAAAAGCATGACACCAATAATGAAGTGGGGGCCAACGGCTTGGCAGGGTCACAGTGCATATGTGTCTGGATTGTGGGTCCCACTTACCTCTCTCAGCTTCCTCCACAAGGAGGCCTCGTGCACTTATACTCCTCTCTGCACCCACAAGCCCCTTCCTAACAGAGAATGCTTTCAAAAAAATAAAACCCATCACCTTAGTGACGTTTCCTAGAAAGAAGAAATACTAAAGTAGAAAATTCAGTAGAGCTCGGTTCCCTTCTTCTGCATTCAATAAAACACCTCCTCATATCGCACATCCCACCTCCCACCAGACCCTGGACCCCCTCCCGTTCCCTCCAGGTGGAGGAAAACAAGATGCGGACCCGAAAGCATTACCGAATGTCGAACTTGCGGTGACCCGGCTCGAGAAGCAGGGGGTGCTCAAGGTACTTCTGGATCACGTGCACTTGGCCCTGGTTGTCTATGAAATCCAGAAGCTCGGAGGCCTCAGAGGAGATGAGGATGCCTTCGCCTGGCAGAGAAGAAGACACACCCCAGCGCAGCTCAGGCCAAGGGCAAGGGGCTCCCCGGAGCCAGAGACAGACCCCGCAGAAGGAGGCTCTCGCTGGCCTGCTCACGGGTCCCCTCCCTCTCCCCTGTCCCCACCCAACTGACTCTTGGGCCACATAGGTTCTCATCACCGTACTGGCAGGTTCCAATGTAACATTGTAGTTTTACAGACACCCACACTGTTTAAACCCTTGAACCAAAGGTCATGTACTCCAGGTCAGCGGCCACCAGAAAGACTGTAGCGCATATGACCAATAAATTCACTTCTAACACTACCTTACAGAAATATCAGAAAGGTAGAGGCATAAACGCAAATGTGTAGGGATGTTCTTGTGGCATAGCAAAAAAAAAAATGGATACGCTTAAACTGTTCCTACACATCAAACAAGTGATACAATATGTCCTTTTGAACAGTTTAATTAAGATGTAACGTATCATAATATTCACCCATTATTTTTCTTTTCTTGGTACAGGGGATTGAACCCAAGGGCACTTAACCACTGAGCCACATCTTCAGCCCTCTTTATTTTTTATTTAGAGACAGGGTCTCACTAAATTGCTTAGGGTCTCATTAAGTTGCTGAGGTTGGTTTTGAACTCTCAATCTTCTTGCTTCAGCCTCCTGAGCTGCTGGGATTACGAGCATGTGCCACTGCGCCCGGCAGCTGTGTAACTTTATGAGGGAGTACAAGACTCCTCCAAAATGGCTGGACCACTGCACATTCCCACCAGCAGCGTCTGAGGGTGCCAATGTCTTCAGCTTCTCACCAACGCTGGTTACCTGCCGTCTTCTTGACTAGAGCCCTCCTGGAGTACGTGGGTATGTGCCTATGAAGTGGTATCTTACGTGGTTTCAATTTGCATTTCCCTAGCAACTAGTCATGTTGAACATGTTCCTATATGTTTATTAACTAATCTGTACATTTTCAATTGGGTTGATTGTCTTTGGATCACTGAGTCATAAGAGATACGTGTGTGTAGGTGTATGTGTGCGTTGCGTTCTAGACACAGGTCCCTTATCAGACATGGTTTGTAAATATCTTCAATTCTCAACAATGCCATTGTGGCACAGATCCCTTGTGCTGTCTTCATAAGGCCACACCTTCCTCCCTCCCGCAACCCATCCCATTCCTGGTAACCACCAATCCGTCCTCCATTTCTATAATTTTGTCATTTCAAAATGTCATACTAGCCAGGAGCAGTGGTGCACGCCTGTAATCCCAGAGACTCGGGAAGGTGAGGTAGGAGGGTCTCGGGTTTGAGCCCAGCCTCAGAAACTTAGTGATACCTTGTCTTAAAATAAAAAATAAAAAGGGCTGGAGGTGTGGCTCAGGGGTAGAGCATCCCAGGTTCAGTCCCTAGTTCAGCTAAAACAAAATGGTATACAAATAGAGAGATACAGTGTGTGCTTCTGCAGGACCAGCTTTCTCCACTTGGCATCATTCCCTGGTTCCGTCGCTGCCGGGCAGACGACTGTGGTATCAACTGTCCTGTTGTTTAATCATTCACCTGTTGAAGGACATCTGCATCGTTTCTAGTTTGAGCTTCAAACAAAGCTTCGATGAAGAATCGCACACAGGCTGTCGTGGGAACCCGAGTTTAAACCTCTCCAGGACACGGGCCGGGAGTGTGCCAATACCGGGTGGCATGGTAGTTGCAGGTTCAAGCTTGTTTTGTTTTGGATTTTCTTTTTGCTTTTTTGTTGTTGTTGTTGTTGCCATGTTACCCAGGCTGGCCTCAAACTGCTGGGCTCAAGTGATCCTCCTTCTACACTTGCCGAGTGCCAGAGCTCAGGTGCTCCTCACTGTGCCTAGATCTAATGCTTACTGTATAAGAAACTGCCAAGTTTTCTGGCTCTTTTTATCCACCCAGAGAGGCTGTGCCACTTCACCTTCCAACTAGCAAGGCTGAGTGCTCCAGCTGTCCCAGAGACTGGCAACCTATCGCTATAATTAATACTGATTTTAGCCACTTCAATAGGAATAAAGTGACAGCTCGTGGTTTTAATTTACATTTTTCTAATAGTTAATCATTTGGAGAAATCTTTTCCTTTGCTTATCTTCTGCCTGCGTAGCCTCTTCAATGAAAAGTATGCCCACATTCTTCTGGCCCATCTTCTCATCAGATGGGGTGTCTGCTGTTGGCTGCCGGTTTTGAAAGTCATTTACATTTTCCAGACCTGGGTCCCCTGTCACATACAGGAGTTACAAATCCTTTCTTCCATCTGTATCTTGTCTTTTTGTCCTTTTAAAGGTGTATTTTACAGAGCAAAAGTGATATTTTGATGAGTTTCAATTATTTAATTTTTGCTTTTGTGGATTGTACCTATGGCAACAAGTTGAAGAACTTTTTGCCACACTATGGTGGCGCACCTGTCATCCCAGTGGCTCGGGAGGCTGAGGCAGGAGGATCATGAGTTCAAGGTCAGCCTCAGCAACTTAGTGAGGCCCTATGCAACTCAGAGAGACCCTGTCTCTAAATAAAATACATAAAAGGGCTGGAGATGTAGCTTAGTGGTTGAGCGCCTCTGGATTCAATCCCCAGTCCCCTCCCCCCACCACACCCACCCCCCAAAAGGAATCCTTTGCCAAGTGCTACCTGCTATTCTCCATCCAAAATATTTAATTTAACATTTAATTCCATGATCCATTTTGAGTTAGTTTTTTTACATTAATTAAGTTAGTCAAAGGGTGAGGTTTGTTGAGGCGAGTTTGGGTTGATTATTTTTGCCTATGGATATCCACCTTGTCTGGCTGCATTTGTTGAAAAGCTTCTCCTTCTATTGAATGGCTTTGGGATCTTTGTCAAAACTCAGGTGGGCATTTGTGCTTGGTCTACTCCTGAGCTCTCTGTCCCGCTCCACTGATTGCATTTCTATTCCTTCGCCAACGGCCCCCCACCTCCCCCGGCACTGAGTACCCCCAGGGTACTGAGCACCCCAAGGCACTGAGCACCACAGCATCACACCTTGACATTGGTCACAGTGATGACTTCTAGTCATTCTTCTTTTACAAGATTGTTGACGCTATCCTAGGGCCTGTGTGCTTCCTTATGAATCTTAGCAGCTTTATGCCCATTTTGCTGATGTCCCAGTGGAGTGACAGTAACCCCGCAGACATCTTTACTACGTGGAGTTCTGAGATCCATGAACAGTCCGTCTGCTCATTTTTTTCCCATAAATATTTATTGAGTGCTTTCCACACAATAGGGAGTGCCTGAGACTTCGTACAACCGTGGAACACACGCATGCACACACCACCACCACAATCAACAACAGTCTATTCATCTTAATCTGGCATCTGTGGGAAAAATTCAAAGATATTTTTCAGATATTTCAACACAGAAAATGGTAACTGCTGACATCTTACTATGTAAATCTATTCCTAACATATCAAATTTTCCAGGAATAAGAATTTTTGCTTATCAAAATTTCCTGTGCATGCAAAGTAGTCCATCGAATAAGGCACCACGTATCTCTAGGAATCTTAATGTCAGCATAAGACCTAGAATTTCTGTTGGCTTCATGGTTTTGGCAGTGGGGATGCCTATAGAGGATTGGCTGATATTCAAGTCAACTCAACTGCCCTGTCAGCGTCTTCAGGACTACAGCGAGCCTTCCTCAACTCAGTTGCAGGATTCAGGCCTTCAAGATAGTGGCCCAAGCTTTTTGCCTTCTCTGAAATTTAAAAGGATTGACTGATGTATAACTAACTATAGTACAATGAGTCCTCTTTAAGTGAACTGGAAATACGCATACTTTCCATCTGCTCATTTTTTTAGGTGCTGTTTGGCATCTTCCAGAATTTCTAATTTTTTTTTTTTTAGCATTCAGAACCTATAGATGTTTTGTCAAATTGAGACCCAAGCACCTCATTTTCGCTGAGGTAACTGTAAATGATACGGTTTTAATTTCGGTTTCCACACAATTGTCTTTTTGTGTGTGGATCTCATAGACTGTACACTGCTGAGCTCCCTCGTGGTCTCTAGGGCCATCCCACCAGTCCTTGGATTCATAGCTCATCTCCATGTGGATCTGATACCTTCAGTACACGCGAATGCCATTTGTTCATTAATTCCGTGACCCATCTTTCCTCGGAGCACCCCATTCTTGACTGCCTGTTTCTGTCACTAGTCCCCCCATTTGGTTGGGCTCTTGGAAACTGCAAAGCAACATGGAAAGTGCCCTGCTTCTCTTTTGCAACCGTGACTCTGTCTCACCTCCCTCAGGAACCACACACGGACTGGCTGGTTCCAGTTTCGTTCCAGCTACCCGTTCTCAAGTTCAGGCTTCACGCTCCGTCCTCGTACCTGCCAGCAAACCTCCTCCAGAGTGAGCACCCCAATGCGCTTCCCTGACCGTCCTGCAGATGCTCTGCGGCACAGGGTAGCCCCCTTCCCTCCCATCGGCTCCAACCTTGTTTTCCTTGTGCAATTTCCTTATGGAAACTATTTCTTATTGAAAACTAATATACTTAACGCTGGCAGATTAGGAAAAAATAGTAGGGGAAAGGGAAGGAGTTCAGTACATATATTTTTGTAAGTTTTATAACTTTTAACAAAAAAATTGAAAAGCTAACCATATTTTATTCTAATTAATTAATTTTATTTTTTCATATCACCTTCCTGTGCACCTGGACAGAGCCTGGTCAGTCACAGGGAACTCTTGGCAGATTCTTTTTCACTTTATGTTATCAGTATTTCCACTGTTCTATGTGAACTTCACACTTATGTTAATAGCTCTAAAGCATCCCATTGTGCGGAAGTAAAAAAAAAAATACACACACACTTGTTTATTGACTTAGACAATGGATTTGTTTCTAAAAAATATTTATTTTGGTATTACAGATAACAGAGTAGTAAATGTCTTTGCAGCAGATGAAATATTTCTCTTTTTGAATATTTTTTTAGTTATACATGGGCACAATATCTTTATTTTTGTTTATTTATTTTTATGTGGTGCTGAAGATCGAACCCAGGGTCTCACACATGAGAGGCAAGTGCTCTACCGCTGAGCCACAACCCCAGCCCATGAAATATTTCTTGGAGTAGACTTTCAGAATGAGATGACTGGGACTAATTATAGGAAGTCCTTATGGCCCTGAGGGGGTTCCATGCTTTTTCAATGGGCTGTGGATTCTCACCAGCAGAGCAGTTCACTACCAACTTTCAGCAACAGTGTCACTAACACTTTGTTTTTTTTTTTATTTTGCAGCTGTAAAATGGTACATAAAACTTAAATTTATTTAGTAATTTTTGGATACTGGTGTAGCATGTTTCTATGGGTTTGTTAACCTGCATTTACTGCACTTCTTTTTTTGGCGGGGGAGGCAGAGGCAGGGGTCCAGGGATTGAACTCAGGGGCACTCAATCACTGAGCCCCATCCCCAGCTCTATTTTGTATTTTATTTAGAGACAGGGTCTCACTGAGCTGCCGAGGCTAGTTTTGAATTTGTGATCTTCCTGCCCCAGCCTCCAGAGCCACAAGGATTATAGGCATGTGCTACCTGTGCCTGGCCTTCTCATTTCTTATATCATTTACTCATTCCTGTCCTTATTCACTATATGTGCAAAAGTTCTAAAGGGACTTTTTTTGTGGGGGATCTTTGAGAAGCTTCATATTGATGGTCCCTGCCCACCTGACCCATTCCTATTTCAAATTCTAGAAATAGATGCCTCACTAACCTTCTTGTTGACTAGACTTTGGGTCCTTGAGAGCAAAAAGCCACATGTGCCTCGTCCACCTCCTTATTCCTGCATGGCCAAGCACTCTCATACTCGGTGCAGATCCTGAACCTTTGCTGGATGCCAGCTCCTGTCCTGGCACGGGGCAGACAGTGCCGGGCACAGACGAGACACCGTTTGAGGTGGGCTTTAATAATCTCTCTGTCTGGGAAGTTCCACGTAAACATTGGAGAATGGCCTGGAACAGGAGGACAGGGAGCAGAACTCCCAGAGAGATGTGAAGGTGACCTCGGATCAGAGGGCTGCTGGATGTGAGGCAGCTTGATACTGGACACGGTTTCAAGGTTGAGCCATGATACCAAGCACATGGTGGGTATTAAGAAGAACAGACACCATCTGTTCCTCCTGTGATTCCTAAACAAAGCTAACACACACCACTCACCTCCTCAACTCACAGCAAAAGTCCTTTGTCAGACGTTTTATCCCCTCTTTACCTCTCCCTGCTGCATGGTGTCCCTCTGTCTGGTCTTAGAGAGGGTCAAGGGACCATCAGAGGTCCTCCCAGTGGCCATCCTAACTCCAAGTTCAAATCCACAGGAGGAATCTAGAATACCACGGATGACCATTTTCCCTTCCAAGTGCTCCCTTTACTGGGGACAGTACTCAAGAAGACAGTGCAAAGGAGTCAGAAAAGTGGGGGAGGCACCCACAGAGGCAAGAGCCCAAGTCTCCCTCTTTCACGAGACTCCAGGTGATGCCCGCCTGCCTCACAGTGGGTGGAAAGAAAGGGGAGGTCGGTTGGACCAGGGACAGGAGTGAGGACCAAGGGCCAGATGGTCTTCCAAAGAATAGGAAGTTCAAAATGGAATGGCTTTTAAAAGAGTATACGACAGTACTTACAGAGAGGCCACTGATGTGCCTGCTGCCTTGGAAGCTGCCTCTACTTTCAGCCTGAGTTGAAATCACAAACCTCAGCCCTCCTAGGCAGTCATTCAACACACACTACGGAGCGACTGCAAGGAGGGATGGAGACCAACAGGAGCTGTGGGTACGGTGTTTGTACTATGCTGGGGGAGACGGGCAGGTTATGTATTATAGAGCTGGATGGGGAGACAGGAAGTGATGGGCTAGAGGCTATTTAGACGGAAGAGGCTTCTCTGGCAAGGCAACAGCTGAGCTCAGAAACCAAATAATCCACGTCAGCACATCCAGGCCCCGAGACAAATTTAGAGCATCTGAGGGACATGAGGCCGTCTTTGTGGCTACAACACAGTGAGCAAGGCCCAGAATAGGAGGAGGTGAGATCAGAGATATGGGGACATGTGCAGTGGCGTGGGCAGCCATCAGGGACCTGGAATTACTGTGATTGCTTTAGGAAGCCAGCTGGTAAGTCAGGAAGTGACCTGATCAGATTTACGTTTGTGAAACATCCCTCTGTCTGGGGGAACTGGCTGCGGATGGGCACTGCGATTAGAGCCTGGGAGGATGGCAGCTTTGAGTTAGTGTGGGAACAGTGGAAATGGCAAGAAGAAGCCTGATCCAGAGTCCAAACTGAAGGTTGCACTAGCAAGACTTAACGCTTTAGGTTTAGATATCAAGGGTGAAGCTGGCTCTGGGGCTCCCAAGAGCCGCAGAGTGATCAGTGGACAAACATCAAAAAGACGGGACAAAAGAGGAGCAGGCCGGGAGGGCGGAGCTGGGCAGGACACAAGGAGTTCTGTATCAGACAAGTTGGAAATGCCACTTAGAGATGGAGAGGGTGACAAGGCATCAGGAGCTTCAAGGGAAGTCCTGGAGCAGAGAGAGGATTTAGAAGGCACTACCACACAAACGGGCATTTAAAACAAGATGTGGTCCATGGGCCCTGAGTTCAGATCTGACTAGGCATCCACCTGAGTGTGTCATTAGAATCTCAAGTGCCAGTACAGAGGAACAGAGGGGACGGCCAGGCCAACTCACCTTTGGCACCTGCTGATGACTTTGCAATCCACACGTTGCCCTCCCCGTCCTCTTTCTTTCTGTTATAGGAAGCCAGGAAGAACTCTCTCTCATCCGTCCTGGAGTTATTGACAGGTGGCTGAATTCCATTCTGTGCTGGAGCAACTGGGGTCTTGAGATTAGTTGGGTAAATCACATAGGACTCGGGGAACCAGGTGCAGGACTCAGCCAGTTCTGGGCTTGTCTTGATCAGCCTAGCAGAGGACAGAGGGTCAGGCTCCTTTCTTAGTGCCCGCTGTCACCCTGTACAGAAAAGACACTGCGTTCCCTTCAGGGGTTTCCAAGGAGTCAAGCCATGGCCTGGTCTCCTCCTTACCCCTCCACTTCCTATTGGCCTCCCTGGACAGACCTCTACCATGCTGTACCTATTACATGCAATAGTAAAGGCGTGCCCAGTGCATCCACAGGACCTCCTGCCGGCCAGGTGCAGTGCCACACACCTATAAGCCCAGCTACCTGGAAGGCTAAGGCAGGAGGAGAAAAAGTCCAAATCCAGCGTGGACAACTGGTCAAACACAAAATAAAAAGGGCTGAGTTTATAGCTCAGCCTCAGAGGACCTGCCTAGTCCTGGGTTCAATCCCAAATATGGGCGAGGAGGCTTACTGCCCAGAACTTGGGCAGTAAAGGGATTTCTAAGGACACCCAACTTGACCTAACTCTGAATAAAACACCTTTTCAACAAACAGGTTGGGACTGAGCCAGACCAACACCAAAAACTGAAGTGGGGGACAGAAGAAAAGTCAAACAACTAGTAAAATTACTGTCTTGGCCTCCGTCTCTGCTTGGGACTCTGAATAGCTAAAGACTATTTTTAAGTCCTTTATTTCCTACTTTTAGCTCAGCCTCACTTCAGTGACAGAATAAAGAAGGAATCCTTCTAATGGGGCACAGGACAGGGGACACAATGAAACATGCCTCTCAGTCCCAAAATAACACACCCCCACAGAAGATAAAGGCCCGCCCTGGGCAAGGCCCTGAACAGATACAGGGTCTTACCAAGAGCTTCCCACTGCCGGCTTCCCAGGTCAGAGGCACCAGGATCCACTTCACAAAAGAGGAGCTGGGTCACAGAGGAGTCCCCTCCCGAGAGCAGCAAGTAGCCAGCACCAGGTAGGACACAAGCCTAAACTGCCCAGCCTTCCCCTAGCCCAGGAACCAGGGCACAGAGGCCCCCCTAAACTGCGCCTCCTTCTGTCTACAGCAACTGTTCCTGTTCAGCCTATATTATGATTCACCTACAAAACCCGGCCTGTGAGCAACAGCAGAAAAAATGAAAAGAACAGTTAAATTAACATTAAAAACAAAGTCATTCTAGCCGGGTGCAGTGGTGCACTCCTGTAATCCCAGCAGCTCAGGAGGCTGAGGCAGGAGGATCGCAAGTTCAAAGCCAGCCTCGGCAAAAGTGAGGTGCTAAGCAACTCAGTGAGACCCTGTCTCTAAATAAAATACAGAATAGGGTTGGGGATATGACTCAGTGGCTGAGTGCCCCTGAGTTCAATCCCTGGTACACAATAAATAAATAAATAGATAGATAGATAGATAGATAGATAAAGTAATTTTAAAGTTAAAGGCAACAGAAGTTGTAAGTTACTTGAACCCAAAGGAACAAAAATGATAAAAATAAATACATAAACTCACCAAATACTCAAGTCTGAAACTACACTGTCCTGTAAGGTGGCCACTAGCATTTGAAATGTAGGCGGCGTGACTCAGGAACAGAATTAAAAATTGCATTTAATTTTAATTTAAAAATGGATGCATCATAAAGTATTTTTCCATTAAGCAGCACTTTGCTGAGGTGGCAGGATGACATTTCCCTTGACTAAACTGCTGTGTGCATGTCGGGCCCATGTGTCACTCCTAGTATTACACACACACACACACAACACTGCTCTGTTCAGGGACAATGGACCTACTCAGTTGAAGTGACTTTCTTCTGTGCACTGATGAGACGTGACCACGTGCTATTGACACAGACAGCAGGAGCTACTGTGCAAAGGACAATCAGTAACTAAGGGGCAATTATTTTTCTAAATAAAAATTATTATTTGTTTAACTAAAAATAAGTCCAGACTAATTTTTAAATTTAAAGCAAAAGCATTCTTCTGATGCAAAACTGAGCAGGGACCCCGAAGGCAGAACAATGACCAGGACAGTGAAGACAAAGGACTGGAAGCAGGTGTGACAAATTCACAATGGATGGCCACTACACCAGGCGATGGCACAGTCAAGTGAAAAGCAGTTTGCTTTGCTAGGGAGACATTTTCAGCAAACAAATACTGAATTTGGTGAACATTTTTCTCTCAATAGTCAAACTAGAATAATAGTGGCAAAAGTCATAAATATGCAACAAAAAAATTTTTTTTCAACAATTAAAAAACATTTTTTTGTACTAAGGATGGAACCCAGGGGTGCTTACCCACTGAGCCACATCCCCAGCCCTTTTTATATTTTATTTAGAGATGGGGTCTCACTGAGTTGCTTAGGGCCTGCTAAGTTACTGAGGCTGCTTTGAACTTGTGATCCTCCTGCTGCAGCCTCCCCAGCTGTTAGGATTACAGACGTGTGCCACCATGCCTGGCTTCAATTAAAAAAAAAAAAATTAAGAATATATATAAGGCCTCTACTGAGCTATATACATCCCAGTCCCTGAAACTTCTTAAAAAATATTTATTTATTTATTTTTTAGGTGTAGATGGACATAGCATGAAGCTCTGAGCTAATAACTTCGGTCAAGTATAAAATGGCCTGGATTCTAACACAAAAGGAAAACCACTTTAGACAGAAATATGGTGAAAAAAATTATTTTAAGGCAAAGTTTTAAAAGATATTTTATGAAAGTAAAATATCTTCAGGTCAGCCAGAATTGGCCACAGATAACAAGCTCTTTCTAGCAAACAATATCAAAGACTGACTCAAAATTTGAAAAAAAATTAAGCATTTTTCTTAGCTTTAGGTAAGTTGTGATGTGAGATGTTGCTAAATTAATGCTTTGGGCATGCTTACATTAAAGAGAAAAAAAAGAAACCAAACTGATGGTGCCAGTATTTCTGAATATTTTACATCTGTCAAAGAGCCACAGAAGGCTGGGGTTGTGGCTCAGTGCTTGCCTAGAACACGTGAGGCACCAGGTTCAAACCTCACCACCACATAAAAGTGAAATAAAGAAACTGTGTCCACCTATAACTAAAAAACGAATATTTAAAAAAAAAAGAGTCAAAGAATTTTACAACTAGATTGCTTTTTTTTTTTTTTTTTGGTACTGGGGATTGAACCCAGAGGAACTTACCCACTGAGCCACATACCCTGCTCCTTTTCTCTTTATTTTTTATTTTGAAATAGGGTTTTACTAAGTTGTTGAGGCTGGCCTCAAACTTTCAATCCTCCTGCAGCAAGTCACTAGGATTATAGGCATTCAACTGTTGCCTTTTTCACTTCATGCTACTGTATGATGCATATAGAAAACATTTGTTTTCTCAGTTTTCTGAAGCAGACTCTATAAAAAGTATTGTGGATACAGTTGTTGGAATGGTTCAGAATATACTTGCAAATGTTACAATGATTCACCAGTTCATGGAACTGTTGAAAGAAACAGAAGACAAAGAATTTAATGATACCAAACTCTCTGCCAATACTCTCTGTTTGATGATGTGTGAGATGAAAGAGTTTTACAAAGATTTACTGTACAGTTATCTCTGATTCAAATATTCTTGATATAAAATGAATGCTTCACATTATATACAATCAACATGTCATTATTTAGTTCAAAAATCCAAGATAAAAAATGGCAGCATTATTCATATTACCCATATCCATGCTACACAGGAACAAGTTCAATTACAGTTCCAAGGCAAGGAAAAGACCTGGTTTTGATCCCCCTATGCAGGTATTATAATTCATGTTCCAACTTCATAGAACAAGTTAATAATAATGATTTTACATGTTTTTATTACATGACAAGATGCAGGTTTCAATTATAATAGTATTATAAAAACTGGCTTCAAGGCTGGGGTTGTGGCTCAGAGGTAGAGAGCTTGCCTGGCATGTGTGAGGCACTGAGTTTGATCCTTAGCACCACATAAAAATAAAATGAAGCTATTGTGTTCACCTATAACCAAAAAATAAATATTAAAAAATTATAAAAGAAAATTGGCTTCAAAATCAAAAAACAGAAAATTGAAGAAAACTTTATTGATACTGATAAACTCTTCATTATATTCAGTACCCCCTTTAAATCCAGTGTGATAATACTGAGCTGATGCAAGTTGGTGAATTTGCTCAACTGGGATAGACCTAGTTTTGCAAAAGATATATTTTTTTTTCCTCAAACTCAAATCAGTTCTAAATAAGATCAATCCATTTTCTCAAGGCGTGTATGAATATTAAAATGTTTTTTTAGAGCTCAATTCAGTTCCTAAAAACTTCTATGTCCATGGGAACAACTTTAGTATGTATATCTACTTTTTCAATCATAAAATTCTTATGCAACCTCAATGCAGATCAAGGGTCTCCATTGAAAATTTAGTGACTGAGTTAAGTTGTGCTACAAAGATAAAATACACATCAGATTTTAAACACTCAGAATTTTTTTTTAAAAAGTCTCAATGTTTTTTGTATTAGTAACATGTCAAAAAGGACAACTTTTTGGATTTGTTTGTTTGATTTACAATGCTGGGCATCAAACCCAGGGCCTCACACATGCTGGGCAAGTGTTCCACCACTGAACTACACCCCCAGCCCAATATTTTGGATTTAGTTAGTTGAATAAAAAGATTACTAATTAATCTGCACCTGTTCTTTGTACTTAACGTGGCTACTGGGAAGTTTAAGTGACAGGTGTGGCTGGCCTTCCATTTCTGATGGACAGAAGGAGAGCAGGCCTGCAGGAAGACCTCTGCATGGCTGCACCCCCTCAGCAGCCCACTGGGGAGCAGTCACAAGGGAAGGCTACTCAGGTCTACAAGGGAGTAATGCTCACCCAGGAAAAGAAAGCTCCCACCTCCCAGCAGAAGGGATGCCCCTCAGGCCCTGGGACTATGACCTTGATGAATGTGACACTCCCTGCAGGGAGAGAAGCCAGAAGCAGGCCCTCGCTGGTCCAGCACTGAGCCCCATCCAGGCTCTGGGCAGCCCTGAGGGACTCCTAGTCATGCTGTTCGTGGAGCCCATTAATACTGATCAGAACATCCTGGCTTAACCCGCACGGATGTGGCCTTGGTCAAGAAAGCTGACCTCTCTGCGCTGCTAATCTGTCCTGTACAATGAGGGAGAGTGCAGTCTGACTCTCTGGGGTCCTGTTAAGTCACAAAAAACCAGGGAAGACAGACAAAAGGAACCAAGACCTCCTGGAATCACCCCGGCCCTGGCAGGACCCCTGAGGGATGAATGAAGCTGGTAAGGGGGACAGTCCCCAGACTGCAAACGTCCTGTCACCATGTACAAGGTGCCACCACAGTCATGGCACACACCTCAAGGGTCAGACACCGGGTATTGTCCACGTTGTACGCTGGACACTGGGGTTCACAGCAACAGTGCTCTCCAAGGTCACGATACCACCTTGGACCAGGTCACGACTCCAGCCCTGTACTCACTGCCGCCTTGCAGCTGCTAAATGTGAAATATACAGAACACTACTTTTTTGGGGGGTACCAGGGATTGAACCCAGAGGCATTTTACCACTGTGCTACAACACAGCCCTTTTTACTTTTTATTTAGAGACAGGGTCTTGCTGAGTTGCTTAGGGCCTCGCTAAGTTGCTGAAGCTGGCGTTCGTTGAGCTGGTGATCCTCCTGCCTCAGCCTCCCAAGCTGCTGGGATTATAGGCGTGCGCCATCACACCCAGCCAGAATGCTACTTTTTACAGTGTATTCTTCTTCCTACTTTTAAAGGACAAATTCTACCTTAATTGCTAGAGAAAACTATCACAGCTCTGTTTGGCTGCATATCTATATTTACTACTTCATGGAAAGCCTGGAGATCTACTCCAGCCTTGACTGTAGGGCCCAAAGCCAGTATTCTGCTCTAATGACAGCAATAATAGCCATACCAAGGAGTAATAAGAACTCTCACTTATGTATTGTGAACCACGCGACAGGCATCCTTCAAAGCCTTCATAACAACGCTGAAGTCGCTGCTATCAGTATACCCATTTTACAGGGAAGAAAACTAAGGCACAGAGTCAAAGACACACAATGTACCTGGTCACTGAATGACATATACTCCACGTGTGTCACCTGATTTAACCCTCACCACTGCCTCATGAGCATGGTACGGAGGCCAAGAGGGATAAGATCTGACCACACCAATCAGAGCTGGGTTAAAACCCATGCTGCCCACCCTGGATCTTAATCATCATATGACACTGGCTCCCTCCACTTTACAAACCTGCTCCCGTGGTGTCCAGTCGTAACCCACTGCTCAGGATCCAGGTGGAAGAGCTCCTCTCACACCTGCCCAGATCTCTTTTCTGCAAGGCCCTAGCTGCTGGGAGGGGGGCTGTGGAGGGTGATGCACACCTTTCTCCAGGGATGAGTCTCTGCCCAGAAAAACCTGGAAAGCTATGTCCCCCACCTTTCCCCCAAACAGAGGCTGGAGCCCACAAGCCCAGCGTCCTTGCTCTGAGATGTGCCAACTCTGAGGTGCCGTTTGCTCCACAGTCCCAGGGTGACACAGCTGAAACCGCATCTTTGCTTGCCTCTCAGCTTGCCCTGTCCTGCTCCCTGGCTTCCTAGGGGTGTGACTTGAGGACCTGCCCCCAAGAAATCACTTCTGCAGGAAGCCACGAGTCAGCCGTGCTCCTAGGCAGCCTCACCTGAGGAACCCTAGGCTTCACCAAACCCCACAGCCACAACCCCTCGAAACGCAAGCCTACAAGAAGCTTCAGAACTGGTATTTATGGACTTTTTGAATAGTAAAAGCATTTTCACCCTTTAAATAATCCCACGTTTTTGCATGAGTGTTTGAAGCCAAAGACATTTATGTAAAACACTGAAAATGGAAGAACACTTACTTCACTAAAGAAGCTTTGCGACACAGTTTGTCAGCCCCCCTGTAGTAATTCACCAGCTGCGCCAGCCCGGGCTCGTGACCTGCAAGGAAAGAGCAGGCTCAAAGGGGGGCCTGGACAGGTGGGGAGTGACGGCCAGGCACCAGCAGGCCAGATGGGGGCCAGGAGGGGCATGCCCGGCTTTTCATTTCAACTCTGGTTGTTAGAAATGGAATAGTTTGGCTTCTCTGTCCCTGAGGGTCTTTCTCTCAGTATCCTTCTGGCCACTCGCCCTCCCCCAGGGGATGCTATACACCAATACTGCAGGTCTACGAAGACCACGGCCACCTTTGTTTTTTCTTGTTAGAGTGGAGCATGCTGGGTATTTTCTCTTCAGCTCTCCCTGGTCTTACTACGCTCCTCTTCCGGCTTAACGTGAAGACTTGCAATCTCTAAATACAAGAAGCTACTTTAGGAGTCATGCTTTGCACCTCCCCAGCCCTGCTTTCTACAACCGTCAGAGAAAGCACAGAACTGTGATACTGCTAGTCTCAAGCATGCTGGTCTCTGCCAGCTTCTGGAAGGCACCAGAAGGTAGAGGGAGGTGGTGGGCAGGCCATGTCAGAATGTCAGAAGTAAGAACTTCATTCTGTGCTTCATCCCACAGGGATCTTATTCTCAACAGTTCTCATTACCACAACCCTTCTCTATGAAATTAGAACTGAAAGGATAAAAATAAAAACACAGTTTTACTTAATTTTTAGGGGATACTGGGGAATGATATTTGTCAAATTATATTGTTATATTGTGTGCATGTGTGAATATGTAACAACAAATCCCACCATGATGTACAACAATACGCACCAATTTTTTAAAAAAGTGGGAAAAAAGAAACTCAAAAAATTTTTTGCTTCGTTTTGTTTAAAATCCTAATAACCCATGCATGGTGGCACATGCCCATAATCCTAGCGACCCTGGAGGCTGCGGCAGGAAGACAAGTTTAAGGCCAACCTGGGTGACTTAGCAAGACCTTGTCTCAAAAATAAAAAGGGCTAGGGTTATAGCTCAGTGGTGGAGCACTCCTGGGTTCAAATTCCAGTACTGCAAAAAAATAAATTTGTACATGCATATTTAAATTTTACTTATTAACAAAATGCATTGCATTTCCTATAATAGAAGGTAAGATGGAATAAAGGCATTATGAGTTGATGTCAGAGGCAATGATTCATCAGAGAATGGCATACGCCCAAATCAAAAGTGTCAGGCATTACTTGAATTTCAGTGTTTCCCTGTGGCAGAGAGACCCTCGTTCTCCCTGCATGGCCTTCTCCACATGCCCAGGGCCCTGAGCCCTTACCTGACCCCTGAAGCTCCTTGGTTTCCCATAAAAACCAAATATTTGCTGATCACCTGCTGAATCTATGGTGCCTATGTAAGATTCGAGACCTATAGGTTTCTGCTTCTCACCTCCTAGCTGGGCATGAGCTCCACAGCTATGCCAACTGCCCCACCTCCACCTGGGCAGTGCTGTCTTTGACTGTCGTCCATATTAAGACTCCATCTAAGCTTTCACAGCCAGACACCACCAAGCACAAGAAGAAAGGAAGGCAGGAAGGGCAGTGGACAAAGTCCACTGGAAGTAACTTCTCGACTAGAAGCATTTGTTTCCTTTCCTCTTTCAGGGAAATAATTCCACATGAACATTACCTCTCCCACCCCACCCCCCTTTTTTGAGGAAGGGTTCCTGAGGAGATCCTTTAACAGGAAGGACTCTCCAAGCACACTCTCTGTAATCCTAGATTTCTGGGGGGCTCCTGTCAGCCTTTCCATGGAGTCACCATTCTTCATTACAAACCTGCATGGCAATGGAAAGTTGTCCCCAGCACTCTTTCAAAGAAAAAACTCAGAAAGGCATTGCCTCAACAAGTTTGGTTCTCAAACACTGCCTCACCCAAATCCTCTAGTAAGTTCACCAATGGCCAGTCAACTCCAGGTGGCCTGTTTCCATTCTCTGTCCACTCAACCTATTTCTGAAAACCCTCTCCTCTCCCCAACATGGAAGGAACACCGCTCCCTTTGGTTGGCCCTCGTTTTTCTCGGTATCAATTCTCCCCTTCTATCCTTGGAGTACAACTGACCCCCATCCCTGGTGAGTTCTGGCCAGGAACACAGCTACCCAGAGAGCCCTTCCCAGATGACTGTGCAGTGAGCAGGTCACGAGCAGATGCTCAGGTCCCCGGGATGTGAGTGCACCTTCCGGAGAACTTCTGGATTACGTCATTTGGAAAGGAGCGGCTGGTCCTCCCCTCACTCCTGTCCCTTCCTAAGGAGAGTAGGTGGACAGGGTGGTGCCAAGCCGGCTTCCACCACGTGAAACCGGCAATTCCCTCCCGGCAGAGATGGAGGGGAACCAAGCCTCTAGTTAAAACCTTTATTCAATGCACAACTGTAAAAACACGTTCTTTGGTGAAGCCTTCGCTAAATTCAGACTATCCTCCAGCTTTCCCTGGGGGAGGGTCTCCTCTGAAGCTCCGGTTTCGAATCCAAAAGGCTTTTCCGAATGCCCTCCCTGCCTGTTATCCGAGCCTTGCGCGGGTACAACCCCAGGTTCCAGCACCTTCAGGGCCCGCTTCCACGCCCACACCAGGCGGGGCGGAGTCCTCCGTGGGAGACGCGCAAGGAGACTTCCCAGCTCTGCGGAGCCTCGCGTGCCCTGCGCAGCCTCGCGTGCCCTGCGCTCAGCTCCGCCAACCTGCCCGACCCGAGGCATCGGGCCCGGGAGCCCGGGAGCCCGGGAGCCGGGGACCAGCGGCCGGCAGCCCCCGTGCTGCAGGGACAGGTCATTGTCAGGAGTAGCGGAACCGCACCGCGAGTCCCTCCGAATGGGACTCAGGAGAGCGGAGGGCGTTCAGAACGAGCGCGGGCGTTGGCGGATCCGCCCGGGATCAGCCCGGGAAGCCGCACGGAAGGGAGACTCGCGACCTTAAAAACAAAAGCGCTGGCCCCGGCTGTGGAGCGCGCCCCGGCCGGGGGCGAGGACGGGGACGGGGAAGGCTCACCCAGTCTCCCGAAAGGCAGCCGGTTCCTCTCGCCCAGCATCAGGTTGAACCTGGGGTTGTCTCGCCTCAGCCTCTTCCAGTGGCCGGAGGCGAGGAGCAGCCGGGAGACCTCGGCGTAGACGCTGCTGTTCTCGTCGCGCACCACGAAGG